AAGTACGATGCCCATCGATGGTAAGCCAAGGTGACGTTTAAATGCTGCAGCAGGAAGTTTACTTTCACAGTGGAGGGAAAGTTATTTTTCTTGAATTTCTGCATTATCTCATCTATTAATTATGACTTGACAAAAAAGTTAGTCTTGATGCGTGAAATCACAAACTTTTAATTGCTTTAAATTTTTATCCTTTTTAATTGTCGTTTCCTTCTCACATCTCGTCTCTTTCTCAACCTATATACATAATTTTGGTTTTTTATTACTGTCTTTTGTTAATTGTAGTATGTGCGTTTGATGACGGCGTTTGCCAAAATGTATCGGTATGTCAGATTAATATAATACAAATTATGTAATTTCATGCATGCGGGCTACATTTTTGGAAAATTCTTGTGAGAAATTGAATGGTTTGAATAATTTTGCAACGTTGGAATTGGGTTACGTTCTATCGTCCGAAATATGATGAAGAAGAAGTAAGCAGTTGCTGAGTTTTATAAACTTATTGGGATGATAGCGGGAGACGCATAAACGCACACGAATATTGTGACTTAATTCCCTGGTAAGCTGACATGAGTGACAGGATAGGTGTGAATAAGCATGAAACAAGAAGGAAACAATCTTAATCCAATTTTCAGAACAAGTTCTAAAGCCCATTTCTGATCTCTCTCTTCTCATGTGGCGGGTCGATATGTTTCGATGCATATCAAATGGAGGATGATTATCGTAGTCTCTCCACGAATGTTTCGTAATTATCGTTGAGGATTTGGTTGCGCATCAAACATGTGTAAGCATGAGAAAAATACCTCGAGATTAAATAGCACTGAGCCCGTGCACGGAACTACAGACGACTGGATTCTTGGTCGCCAGGAGCAGCAATTTGGCAACCCCGGATTCCCTCCATTTAAACCTATGCTAAAAAATCGATTCTTGTCGGAGCACATGGCCCCCCAAGAATCGATACATTTCCATAGGTTTAAATGGAGGAAAGACGATGTTGCCAATTCGCTGGATCCGCCAATGTCGCCTGTACAAAAGTACGGAACTACATTTCAACATAGCGAAACGCCTGCTCCCAGATTGTATTTATCAAGTTTTTAACTGAAAATGTCGCAGAGTTTTCATCTGATTACATGTGAAACCAGCATGATTCGGGCAGCTCTTCTGCCGTGCTTAGGAAAAACGCCGTTTGAACCTTCAGGCGTTGCCAAATTTCATTTGAAAAAAAAAGTTGTTAATATTTTTCTTCCAATTTCTCAGATAATTTTGTTTGCAGTTTGATCTAAAACTTCTGAAAATTTTAAGAAAAAATATTCATAACTCTCCTCAAAAAAAAAACATTTTATCGAAGGAAATTTGGCAACTCTCGAATGTTCACACGGCGTTCTTCCTTAGTACGGCAGTATTCTGCCGGGCTATGGAAAAACGCCGTATAAACATTCGAGCTTCTCGCCGAAGTTTCAATGTCTATTTTAAAGGAGAATTATGAATATTTTTCTTTTAAATTTTCGGATAATTTAGATCTGATTGCGAATATACTTCTCTGATTAATTGGTGGAAGATAATCACAGATTTCTCTTCATAATTTTTCAGAGGAAATTTAGCAACGTCTGAAGACTCATGCGGTGTGTGAAACGACGTATTTTGTACGAGTATTAAAGTTTGAGAATAGGTTGATTTGTCCTACTTCTCTCGTTGCCTTTGAAAAATGGTCGACCCAACAAATTCTCACAACATTTGTCAAAGGAGGGGTATCGTTAAGGGCATTTTTTGGGCCCACCCTGAAATTTCTCAGCTCCGCGATTTTTTGGTCATTGAAGGTCTATATTTTACGGAATTCACACAGGTTTGGTCATTTCCGATCTATTTCAAGATCTACCACTGGCCTAAACATGGGTCTGAAGGCCGATTTTGGCGAAAAATGCTGGTTTTTCGGCATTCAAAGCGCTGTTTCATACCGATCCCTTCGGAGGACAAAAAAGTCCTTCAAGTATGTTCATTAAGGATGTAAGAGAGTCACTTTGGCCAATTTTCGTTGATGTCAAACTTTGAGCTCATAGTTAAAAAAAACTTTTTAGAATTTTCCTCTTTTTCATCGTTACTTAAAATGGCTTAAAAAAGCGACTCATCTTACGCCAGAGTTTAATTTTTTTGACAATAAATGGACGTGGGTGGTCAAAATCTTCCTTGAAAAACTTTTTTGGATTCAAAGCCCCCCCTAAAAGCCGGTGTTGCCATATTTCATTGCCTGAATTCACGGAAAACATAGTATTTTAGAATTCGGAGGCTGCTCCTCGTCAAGAACATTCCGCAAGTTCAGAAACCTTTATTTTTCACACGCCGTGGCCACATTAGTAGGGATTTTATGCGTGTTTCATCTATTTATGTATTTATCTCCCGCTGTGGCGCAGCGTTGCCACATGTTATTCGTGAAAATCGAGAAAAATTTGCGTTTAGGTGGTTTTGCGCCATTTTTTTCGGATCATGCCTATGGAATAAATATATAAGAGAGGTACAAGTGGATCAATATGTGCAGGTATTAATTTTCATAAGATCATGCACCTACAGACGACCCATTCTCTTACGAGTTCTTAAAATGATGAAGAAAAAAAAGGATGCGCCACAGCGGGAGATAAATGCATAAATAGATAAAACATGCATAAAATTCCTACTAATGTGGCCACTGCGTGTGAAAAATAAAGGTTTCTGAACTTGCGGAATGTTCTTGACGAGGAGCAGCCTCCGAATTCTAAAATACTAGGTTTTCCGTGAATTCAGGCAATGAAATATGGCAACACCGGCTTTTAGGGGGGGCTTTGAATCCAAAAAAGTTTTTCAAGGAAGGTTTTGACCACCCACGTCCATTTATTGCCAAAAGTTAAACTCTGGCGTAAGATGAGTCGCTTTTTTAAGCCATTTTAAATAACGATGAAAAACAGGAAAATTCTGAAAAGTTTTTTTTTAACTATGAGCGCAAAGTTTGACATCAACGAAAATTGGCCAAAGTGACTCTCTTACATCCCTAATGAACATACTTGAAGGAATTTTTTGTCCTCCGAAGGGATCGGTATGAAACAGCGCGTTGAATGCCGAAAAACCAGCATTTTTCGCCAAAATCGGCCTTCAGACCCATGTTTAGGCCAGTGGTAGATCTTGAAATAGATCGGAAATGACCAAACCTGTATGAATTCCGTAAAATATAGACCTTCAATGACCAAAAAATCGCGGAGTTGAGGAATTTCAGGGTGGGCCCAAAAAAGGCTCTTTAACGATACCCCTCCTTTACGACTTTAAATTTTGAATCAAATCTACTGCTATCGAATACGAAAAATCATGGAGAATTTAAGTTTTACGTTGACCAGCTTCTCGAAAGAAAAATAAAATTTCTTATGCAGTCTGCAACGTCGCAAATGGAGATACGCCGTCTCTCATTTTGCCGAAAAATATGCATGCATAAAATTGAAGACATTATGACTTTCCTCTTTCAACTAATATTCGTCTGTAACGATGAACAATGGGACGCGTTTGCCACGGCGCCTTCATACAACTATACAAGCTCGACGGATGTCCGTATTGTGTTCAAAAAATTGACGGGGACTTGATGCAACTATTTAAACTTGATGGATGTCCGTATCGCACCGACTGAAGTGCGAAACCACGTATCACCATTGCGGTGTTTTTTAAAATTTCCGTCCTTATTTCATCTCTTCCATGAGAAACAATCCAAATTTACGACTTTAAATTTTGAACCAAATCTTCTGCTATCGAACACGAAAAATCATGGAGAATTTAAGTTTTGTGTTCACCAGCTTCTCGAGAGAAAAATAAAATTTCTAAGGAAGTCTGCAACGTCGCAAATGGAGAAACGTCGTCTCTCATTTTGCCCAAAAATATGTATACATACAATTGAAGGCATTATGACTTTCCTCTCTCAACTTATATTCGTTTGTAACGATAAAGAATGGGACGCGTTTGCCACGGCGCCTTGATACAATTATACAACCTCGACGGATGTCCGTATTGCATTCAAAAAATTGAAGGCGTTTCGACTCCCTGCTCATACTACCTGTAGTTGATTCGATCGAAAGACGCGTTGTTCGGCGGTGAAGGGGACTGGATGCAACTATTTAAACGTGATGGATGTCCGTATCGCACCGACTGAAGTGCGAAACCACGTATCACCATTGCGGTGTTTCAAAATTTCCGTCCTTATTTCATCTCTTCCATGAGAAACAATCCAAATTTACGACTTTAAATTTTGAACCAAATCTTCTGCTTTCGAATACGAAAAATCATGGAGAATATAAGTTTTATGTTTACCAGCTTCTCGAAAGAAAAATAAAATTTCTAAGGAAGTCTGCAACGTCACAAATGGAGAAACAACAATTAATACTCTGTAGTTTTGTTCATAAATTAAAAAAAAAAAAAAAAANAAAAAAAAAAAAAAAAAAAAAAAAAAAAAAAAAAAAAAAAAAAATGGAGAAACGTCGTCTCTCATTTTGCCCAAAAATATGTCCCGGCGGCAGCTTATAGGTTCATTCTAAACCCAAAAATTGGCATTTAGAGAAATGACAGCAGAAAAGTGCTTGGAAAAAAATCTTGCATTCAATTTTAGCCATCGATTTTTGTATCGAATGCGAGGTTTTTTTTTCAAACACAATTTTGCTTTCATTTCTATGAATTTTGCCAATTTTTGGATTTAGAATGATTCTTTAGGCTCATGCGCAGGGGCTATCGTCCTTTTTTTCTTTTTTTTTTGCTTAAAATCCAAAATCTGCCGTATTTTTTTTACCTAATCAATGCGATATATCCCATGCCAGTTCGACCACGTCACTTGAGCTTGACGAATCACCTCAACTCCATTAATTTCAGCGTAGACTTAGAAATCGTAGCTCCTAATACATACATACAATTCGCTTTACAGCACTCCCTCGCGCTCTACGACTCTTAACCTCCACTGCTCTCGTAGCTCCTAATTTCATGCAAAATGTAGTCCACAAACAAACCTCTCATCCTCATCATCGGAGTCTGTTATCACGTTGGCGCCCAACTCGGGGTCCCAGCCGAGGGCGGCATCCAGCTCGCTCTCGGCCGATCTGAGCTCAGTCGAGATGACCGAGTACGGGCTCGCCGGACTGGGCACTTCGACGACATTGTAGCCCACGCGCGGACTTACATCGTCCGCATTCCCGGGACTGGCCAGGTAGATCTCCAGGTTCTGCTTCGTGAACTCCCGGTCGCGCCACGCCTGTCGGATCCTCTCGGCAAACTGCTTCCGGGAGATGAGGATCGTGTTCCGGTTGTACCCCAGCGCGCTCTCGCGGGCAACGACCGGACCAGCCGTCTGCGGCCGCGACAGACCTTTACACCGCTCGGCGACGACCTGGACGCCCGGAGTGGAGCCCTCCTGGCTTTGACTGTTTTGACCGCGCTCGCCCCAGGCCAGGCGGAGCGGCCGTGGGGGCGGACCCCACGTGCCCCTACCGCGCCCCCTCCCGCGACCCGCTGTCGTGATGCGCTCTTTTGAGCGGGATTTCTTCTCCGCGTCGCCATTTTGTTTGTTGATGGAGCTGGCGCTTATGAGAAGGGTACCGAGTTCGGGGGTTTTGGGCGGCGGGGTGGTTTTTTTGGTGGTGTTGTTGTTGTTGTTGTCCTTGTCGAATTTCCGGTCGTTGAGTTCCACAGATGATCGCTTTTGCAGGCTTCTCTGGGACGCCTGAGGGAGTGACAGTTGTCGCACGGGTCCTGATCTTTTTTTTATGGACATGCTATCGACACTGCGGCTCGAGACGGGGTTATTTCTGAAACAAACGAAAAATATTTTCAAACGGTCAAATAGATGCTGAAACTAAGGCATGTTGAAGATGTAGTGCACAGTTTAAATATTTTAGGAATTTCTAAAATCTATTCTTTAACGCACGATTTCCTTGGCCCGTGTCGTGTGTTTTCAAATGTACAGCCTAAGGGATCATTTTAATTTTGTCACCAGAGGTTCGGCTTGCCGAAAGAGAATCGTGAGGTTTTGCGTTCAACAAACTTTATGAAAATAATTGAAAGCATATGGACAATGGTCTTGAAGTAAAAAAAAATGCGACAAAAATATACCCAATAACGGTTTGCAGGGGGTAAATCTATGGTACGTGTGGACTTAAAATCGTGGAAAATCAAAATCTTGGCTGATACTTATTTTGAAATACCGCAATTTGAAATTTTCATAGTGAATGCAAGTTTTCTACTGATTTTGATCCGCTTTTTTTATTCATTTGTCCATTGAATTTGTGTTGATCGGTTCACGGCGTTTTTATCATTCGTTAGATTCATTTTGATCGAATACATACACTCTCGTTACATGCAGACTACCTATCACACTCTTTTTTTTTAACAGAACAATTCGCCTTCTGCTGCGTCTGCAGCAATTGTCGTTACGGATATGTTGTGCGTGCTGATTTCAACTCATTACATACTCGACTACCTGAAGGCGTTTTATGTGAGCGAGTAGCGCGATCTGTTGGAGAACGAACGAAGTAGGGATTGAGAGATTCATTTAATCTCACTTCTGATGTTCTCCAACAGGGTGCTCTACTTTCGCACATGAAACGCCTTCAGAGAGTCAAGTATGTAATGACCTGAGATCAGCACGCACAACATATTTGTAACAGCAATTGCTGCGGATGCAGCTGAAGGCGAATCGAAAACAACCTCGAAATAACAAAGTTGGAGGACTTTTTAGGACTGAAAATTTGTAACGCGGTGTATTTTATTTTACATTTAAACTTAGTTAATGGTTTAGTTTATACAATGATAAAACAAATTACACAGAAGGTGGTAAGGCAAAAGCAACGAAAGAGTATGTATTCAATCGAAATGAATTAAACGAAGAATAAAAACGTGAACCGATCAACACAGATTCCACGGACCAATATATAAAAAGCTGATCAAAATCAGTTGAAAACTTGCATTCACTATGAAAATTTCAAATTGCGGTTTCTCAAAATTAAGATCAGCCAAGACTTTAATTTTCCACGATTTTAAGTCCACACGTACATTTTTGTCGCATTCTTTTTTTTGCTTCAAGACCAATGTGTACGCAAAAGATATATATGTATCAAAATGGGTAAAATTTGTTAACATTATTTAAGAATTCATTTATGTCGGGTTTTCCTGCACCTCTATGATCGAATCTGATTGCCAGTGCCTAAGAAAGAAATTGCCCGTGGAAGCTGTGACTGAAAATGGGTGGGGAGACGTCACAAGTCAATTTTGAAAAAAAAATCGTTTTAACAATTTTATTACTCAATTGCGGTAAAATTTTGAGGAGATTTTCCTTAAAAATTTTTTTCTCCTCAAAATTTTACCGCAAATGAGTAACGAATTTTTTTAAAAAAATGTTTTCATCAACATGACTCTATCAATTTCCTGAAAAATTGAATGTTCCTTGTAAAATCCTGACCAATGTAGACAGTCTCGATTTTTCGAAAAATCGGTGGGTATAAGAAACCAATTGAGGTCATTTTCGGACTTTGTGCTGATATTTGCCCGACAGCCATGTTCAACAGATTTGCCCTCTTCCTCTTCTCCTCTCTCAAAAAAGGAACGCATTACGTCGAATCAAGCACTGTTGGGGGTGAACTGGACGAGAGTAATTTCAAATATATCTGACACATTTCTACACAGTTTCAGTTCAGCAAGTTCTCATATCATAATATAAGAACTCCCCATAGAGGGGAGATGGTGTGGATTAAATTGACATATGAATTGATCGAAAAACCAAATGAATCGATCAACAACCGTGAGTCGATCGACAAATCCGTGAGTGAGTCAACAGACCCATGAATTGATCGACAAGCTCGTAAATCGATCGATAAACCCGTGAGTCGATCGATTTAAGGTGGTCGATCGGATTGGCGTCGTTCGATTCACGTTTTTATTTTTCGATCGAATCCGTACCCTCCGTGAAGGGGGTCACAATCTTCAAACTCGTATACAATTTGAATAGGTGCAAACGATCAATGCTCCTGCTTCCATAACAATTAGACGACGATATGTATGCTCAAGCCAGTCGTAATGAAAGTAGGCGACGGTGAGTCGGAAATTTAGGGTGGGAAGAAGAAAAACAAGGAGAGAGCTAAAGAAATACCAATAAAGAGGGCACGGAGACAAAGAGATGAGCGGTCGCGCTGATGCTACTGTTCTAGTTTTCAATCGGCCGTCACAACACAACATGTAAGTTATGTCATAATTTACAGTGCCACGTTACCTCCACCACCCCCCGCCATGTTGTGGGGGCTCCATGTCAACCCCCTCTGCCCCCACCTTCGTGACCCTTTTCCCGCCACCCCGCGTGCGCCCATCATCCCTCCACGTGCTCACAGCTCCATCACGACAAATCTACGATCCCCATTTACATCCTTGCCAAAGCATCTATTTGTATTCATTCGGCAATAATTTAAGACTGTGAAAGTATTCAAAGAACATTTTTTATTTTTATTTATTTACTTATTATTATTATTTTCTTTTACGGAATCAACCAGAATCCGCCTATCTGAAGTTCATGTTACTTAATTCCGTGTCATTTCTTTCTTTTTCGGGCAGAAATGGACGGTTTATGCCAAAAGAAACCAGCAACGAGTGGAAAAGAAGGAGTGTACACCGGGAAAAAAAAAACACATTAGATCTAGAGTCCAGACTCTTGAAAACATTGACATGAAAAAGGACTCTTGATTCAATCAAGCTTTAATCAGAAGGAAATCCGCTCAAATTAAGAGGCTTGGTTCTTGATTTAAGCTTAAATCTGATTAAATCAAGAGTATTTTTTCTTGTCGATCTTTTTAAGAGTCTGGACTGTAGATCCAATGTGTTTTTTTTTCCCAGTAAATTAAACTTGTTTCCGCAAATTCTCCATTAGATGCAGACCGTGAAGATGAATGGGAACTATAAAGCGCCAGTGACGTCAGCGACGACGACGGGGACGAGTAAACGTCGAGAGTCTTTAACTCGTGAGCTCTGTCCACAACTCTCTTTTCACGTGCCCACGGCTCATGAGTTAGCATATTTTAGTGCTTAGTTGGCTCCTTATGAGTTAATGTCAAATCCTACTTTTCCATTTTCTCAAAAGGAATCACGCTCATTTCTACAATGTTTCTTTGCAGCTCAAACGAGCACTCCTCATTCTTCCCCGCACTTCTCTAGTTCCTCTATGCAGAAATATGTGCAAAATAAAACAATGCAATGCCTTTAAACTTCCTGTTAATTTTTCACAACTTACACAGAATATATTTACAATATTTCGAATCATATCAGAGTTTTGATAAGTTTTCTTGTAAAAAAATATAACATGTGAGGAAATTAGACAACGCCCAATGTGGATGCGCTGAATCTAGTCAATTACGTACATGCAGTTTAAACCTGGCCATTGGGTTTATCATTGAAATCGACAGCCATGGCAATAGATAAAGAAGACAAAGGGAAAATGGAGCGATTTTATTGAAACGGGTGGTTGTCAAAACCTATATTAAGTGGTCTCAATTATTGGAGGAATGATGCACTGAAAAAAAATTATCGGCGTTTTTACCAAGGTCCGTTGGTACCTTTACCATCTCACTTTTTTTTACCAATTATTGGTATTATGACCAAGACAGACTGGTAAACTTACCTAAAAACCGGTATTTTTACTGTTTGTTTCAGGTAAGAATACCACTTTTATTGGTAATCAATTCCAGGTAACTTTGCCATTTTATCTCGGTAATTCTACCACAGTCGATAAAAAATATTGGCGTTTTTACCAAGGTCCAATAAAATTACCGAGAAAGTTCAATAATTTTACCGAGATTTCTCGGTAATCAAAAGGAAATTCGCTCAAATTAAGAGGCTTGGTTCTTGATCTAAGCTTAAATCTGATTGATCAAGAGTATTTTTTCTTGTCGATGTGTTTAAGAGTCTCTCTGGACTCTAGATCCAATGTGTTTTTTTTCCAGCGTGTTGCGGTCGATATTGAACTGCAAAGTGGTTAATTGCCATAATAAAATGCATTTTTTAAGCGTAATGCTGCGATGGAGGTATGTTTTCAGTCGTGTGCCGGGCTTCGTAAACCAATCAGTGCAAAAACGGAGGTCGGTGAATTCGGCATCGTTGAAGTGGTTGTGAATAACGGGCGGGCCACGTTGTATATTACTTTGTCATTTCCATGCATGCACACGATGCACCGATGCACCGGGACCCTATGGCGTATGATGCGGTGTCCTCGAGTGATGCAGTCCGTTCCGCGTCACTTTTACCATTATACAAACACAATCAAAGAGGCCGTTCAAAATTACGTATACAAACAACGAGATGGTGAGGGCTGGTTCTGAGTTTGCAATTAAAGAGAGCAGTAAGTGCAAAAATTAAGTTTGTAGAAAACGGGCTCAGAGTTTCTGACCGGACAATTTTATTGAAAGGAGCCTCCGTTCTTTGTCAAATTGCCACTAATCATCCGGGAGACTCTTTTAAATTGTTCGGTTTTTTAACATGTCGGAGCGCCTTCAATTTATGATACTGTGCAACACCTCTGTTGTGAGGTAGTTGCTTGAGGCGCCTTGCTGCCAGCCCGAGACACGTACTGGCGCCTACAAACCTAAAGGGATACTTCAAGCAATGCTAGTTTCGCGCTGGCAACAGGCTGCGCCGCTCCGCTGTGTTCGGCTTTAATATTTATTGAAATTTTTTTGAAAGAAGCCTCTGTCCTTTCTCAAATTATCACTAATCGTGCGATAGACTCCTAGAAATCGTTTGGATAAATAAAAATCCACTGACTTTATTTCAA